GTCAGTGTAGCTATAAAAGAAACAGGAAGGGGCCACGAACTGAGCCCTGTGGAACGCCACAGGTTATATCTGTATGTAAGTGAATTTATCCCGTATAGCATCAGTAACGTCTTTACTAATCTTATCTCTGCTGCAGACGACGATGACTTGTGAAAGATTAGGGCGGCTGTGGCTCAGAGTGGGTCGTTCCTTAATTGGAAGGTTGTGGGTTCGATCCCCGGCTCCTGGTGCCACATGTCGAAGTATCCTTGAGCAAGATACTGAACCCTAAATTGCTCCCGATGCCGTGCATCGGTGTGAATGTGTATGAATGTTAGTTTCTGTTCGATGGACAGATGCCATCACTGAGTGAATGTGTGTGAAAGGGTGAATGTGGTACCTAGTGTAAAAGCGCTTTGAGTGGTCGGAAGACTAGAAAGGCACTATACAAGTACAGGTCCATTTACCATGTTTCTGCTTTCACACCCACTCAGACTCATATAGAGAGTCTCTGGGACAGTGACAGTATCATGGACTGCACACATTTAGTCTTGAAGGATATGATGGTTCTTCCAAAGCTCAGCGTAACGTTAAAGCAACCTCAACATGACAGCCATTTGTCATCTTTAGATCTGAACTCAGTGGACCGCGTGAGAGGATTATTAACACTGAAGTCCGTCCAAACTCTTCTGGACCCGGAGAGGAGAAAGAGAAAGGGGGACGGAGGAGGCAGCCAGCGGAGGATCTCTGGATGTAAAATGGAAATAAAACAGAAAGAGGAGAAGTTCCAGCCGCTAACAGGCTAATGTCTTCCATCCGCAGGAAGAGTCTCCGGCCAACATCAGACCCAGATCCAAAAAACAAAAGTCCTGTGTGTCTTTACACGCTGAGAGACAGCGAGAGCCAAAACCACAGCGGGCTGATGTGGTGTCAGAGGATTATCAGCTCTGCTACCAACACGACAGTTTACTCACCGTCAGAACACAGTTCCACTAACAACAGCAAGAACACGTTCTGTCGTCGGCTGCAAGGGAAGACAGAAAAAGAGACGGGACAGAAACAAACGTAGATAACAGAAGACTTTAAATAATAAACCCTGTACGATACCTCCGTTCTATAAAACTGAGCTTCTCAAACTGATCTCAGACCAGCTGTTGTTGATTATGAGATTATTCCAGTTGGAGAAACTCACACAACTGGATCCAAACCTGGTTCCTGTCAGGTATCAACTGCTGGACCGTTGTGTTCGAGGCTGTTTGAGAAGAGATGGTATGACAACACATAAAGCCTCCAAGCAGCGAGATGAGCAACAAGCTCCAACAGCTTTCATACAGAAAATAAACTCACCTGCTTTAAATAAATACAACCGTTCTGTCATTTAAACAGCGACAGTCTGTGAACCACCTCGTTACTGGATCCACCGGTGAGACTGAAGTCGACTGTTTGGAGGCTCAGCGAATTGGAACTGCTGCAGCTTTAATCAACATATCACACACGTCTTAATGTGAAAATATTCCTTTCAGAATAAAACTGTTTATATGAGATTATCAAATCAGGGTTCCCGCTCTCTAACCAATCATTTTCCAGGAGGACAGCCCTGCTCACAAACCATATATAATGAGCAGTAGGTCAAGTACTGACACATTCAACTCTTTATTAATGAATGAGGTCAGAGGTCATCTCTGTTTATTCAAATTGTACTCAATTTATTCTATTTCACAGAAAATGTATCTGCTCAGCTCTCAGTCTGTTAGAAGAAGCTTAACTGTGAGTGTATTTATCAACCACAACACATTTCCACCGAGCTTTAATGAGAATTATGATCGCTGTAAGTTCTCCAACAGTCGAGTTTCAGAATGTTTGCAGTCAGTGTGAACGCAGCCGCTCTGCAGGTCCACCAGCAGCAGCCTGCAGCGAGCAGCTCTGTCTGACTCTGCTAGAACGCTCACATTACTCACAGCACAAGATCCAATCTTTTCCACAGTTACCTGCTGTGTTTGTCAGCCTCTCTGCCATCAGAGCTCAATATTATTATTGATTTCACTCAAACCTGTATTTGATGGATAATCATCAGCAGTGTTTGCTGTGTGAATATGGACTGAAATGATACTTGCTGTTTATTCATTCATGTGTTTCCTACAAACTCCCTCCAGTAAATCATTAATTAACCCAGTAAGATCCTCTCTTGCCCCGCCCACAACCTCACAGCTAACCAGCCAGCAGTGAAACCAGCACTGAGCGTGTGCAGAGCCTCCGTCTGTGCAGTCCAGAGTTCAGTCAGTGTTTCAGTCTCTGTGGCAGAAGGTGTCTAAAAGGTGTTTATGACCTCTTAATCTGTCCATTATCTGCAGGCTGCTGTCAGCGTCTGATTGGTTGGTCAAACAGCAGCGGGCAGTTTGTCGGGATCAAACCAGCAGAGAGAAGATTGTTCATCATCCACCTTCTTCTAATAAAGACACAGCTGATGTTTATCTGAGGACTGTAGACTGCAGGACTCTGTGTAAAGGTTCTAGTTCCTTCAGGTTACAAACAGATACATAAAGAACCAGTGTCCATACAGTTTGACTGCGTTTGAGCACCAAGAATAACCAAAAACTGGACGTTAGCCAGGAGCCGCCGTCAGTCCCAGCTGGGCAGCTCCTGTGGGATCTCTTCCTCTCCTCTTGGGGCGAGGGTGTTCCCGTCATTCGATCTGCCTGCTTGCTGCTCTCAAGGTTGGATAAGTTAGCGTCTACGTCCCGTTAGCTTACAGTTAGCTTCTAGGTGCTGGCTCCAGTAAACTAGGATGGATCTGTGATTAGCTTGTTAGCTAACACGAGCATACCAACATGTAAATGAGACAGACTTGGATTTTGGTTCCTGAGTGAAGCCATGATAAGGAAACATCCTTCACTGCTTCCTTTCTTATCTCTTTTAGCAGAGGACACACTGGAGCATCCTTTACTGAAGGAAAGGAGATAATTCTGTCCCACAATTCCTTTTTCCTTTTTTTCTCTCATTTGATGGAGCTAGACTAACAGTTTTCCCCTGCTCCCAGTCTTTGTGCTAAGCTAGGCTAAACACTTCCTTCCTGGCCCGACATTAGAGCTGGATGCAGAGAAATGAAACTGAAGACGGACTTTTACAGAATATTTGAGCATCGGAGCTTGGTTCCCCTGCACCCTCCACATTCCTGCAGCTTCTATTATCCTGTTATGATGATGATGCATTCACATCTTGAATGTTTACAGGCGCATATTTCATGTTGAATCAGTCATATTTCAGTCAGTCAGTGACAGCGTCAGAAGCATCTGGAAGTCATCAGCAGCTGTTTGCAGCTCACATTATCATTCTGATTCTCTTTCAGCTCATTTTTACAATTGTTCTCCACATTCCTGAATAAAAACACTGTAATCATCTCCATTTCACCTGTTTCTAATACAGCCAGTGTTTGTGGTTTCTTGGTGCTGATTCTTCTGTTTGGTTCAAGATGTTGGCGGCAGCTGAATGCATGAATACATTTCAATAGTTTAGGTTTGCGGTCCAGCTGCTGTTAAAGCCTCAGGATGCTTCAGCAGCTCCTGCAGGATCATAAAGGCTCGTTAGAGCAGAGAACTTCATCATTCAGGTCAGAGATGTCCGAGGGCTGACTGTGGAACCTTGTTCCACCAGTGTGATCCTGTAAGTGTTAATAATGAGAAACTTTATCATTATTTTGAGATATTAAGTTGTTATTTTGATAAAGTTTCTCATTATAACGACTAACAGGATCCTTTTCTTCATCACACTGGTGGAAAGAGGTTCCATAGAAGATGTTAATATATCAGTGTTGTATGTATAAAATAAGGAGATCTCGAGCTCAGCGAGCTCCAGCCGGGATTCTAACGTCTTTTCAACCAGATAAACATTTTATTTGATTAAACATTTTTAGGGTTGCCAGGAGCTCTCGCTCACTAACAGCCAGTGTCATATTAACCCTTTAACTACAGATTACAGGTAGGAGATCTGTGGTGTGATTGGCTGTTCTCACTACTGCAGCTGCCCAGCAACACCAGGCTAACGTCAGCTAGCTCCATCCAGACTCTGAGGCTCTACAGTTACATAATGAAGAAATAAACTCTGTTCTGTCTTTTTGAAGAGTTTTAAATGTTGCTGTCATTAATGTAACGGAGGTCTAACCTTCCTCCCTGAGGGGGCCGGTGGAGCGGCGTCCCCCATCAGCAGGTAGCTCCTCCTGTCCTCCTGTATGAGGCCTTCAGGGACACCTTGCAGACTGACGGTACTGAGGACAGAAGTGTCCACAGTGAGTCTGTTAAAGCCGCAGACGTGAACTATAATATCAGTATATTTTATTCTCACAATGACCCTCCACTAATATGATCTTATGATAATATAATAATATGATCTTATGATAATATAATAAATTGATCTTATGATAATATAATTATATGGACACACAATCCCTGTACAATAACCCTCTGACAGCCACTGCACCTGTAAACTGTTTACTGTTTATTTCTTCATTGTTCAAATTCAGTTTTTAAAAAGATAAATACAATCACTCAAACACTTCTACCCATGCTGTGCGTACTGTTTATACAGTATATAGTGTATATACACTATATACTGTATACAGTATATGCTGTCCTCCCTCATGTACATAAAGAAACCTGCACGTGAAGAATTATTCCAGCATCTACTGTCCATAGCACTTTATAGAAGTGTATAGTAGTGTACAGTAGTGTGTGTTAGTGTGTGTTTGTGTTGTTGATACTGTTGTCCTGTTTATTTGTTCTGTGTATGTGAGCTCAGACCTGATCCAAACACTGATTCTGTGGGAGGAACATAAGACCACAGTCCGTCACAGAGGACCGTCTCTGTAAAGCAGAGAAAGTCTTTTTCAAGGTTTTTAAGCAATTTTGGGCAGATTTTTTCTTTGAATGTGAGAATGAAGCTGCAGCCGACCTGTGAGCGCCCCCTACTGTCTGTGCAACACATTAATGGACAACATCTTCAAAGAAAAACACGAGAACTGAACAGAGTCTGATAAAACAAGCTCTTTTATTATAATAATTCAGGTTTTTTTGGTAGTTCATATATATATTTATATATATATTTATATATAGGCTTATTTTACAATTGAGACAAACGTTGGTTTAACATCAGTTTGTAAAAAAAAAACAAAAAAATAACATGAAAAGTGCTTCCTTTTTCCTCGCCGGCAGAATCTTTACACACAGCCCGGCTGGAGGTCAAAGGTCATCTGGAAGGATCAGAAGGCACCGTGTGTGTGAGTGTGTGATGGACAGTGGAAAAGAGGAAGAGACATGTTGCATAGAAACCCTTTTCACATTTTGTTTTTCTTTGTTTTCTCTCATAAATACGAAGAGCGAGGCGTGTTTCTTTCTGTCAGATCAGAACCCAGACGCTTCATTTTCACGACTAATAGTGCACACAGGAGAGAGAGCTGCTCGCCACCGCTGCCGCGTCCTCTGACACAACCTCCTAAACCTCCACAATCTGCAGTTTGTCTTTATTGTCGGACATTTAGCCAGCAGAGAAACTTTGCTGCAGGTTTGGAGGCTGTGAGCTCAGAGGACGCTCAGAGGACGCTCAGAGGACGCTGGCGGGACGGAGCAGGGACCACAGTTTCTATTCCAGTCTGATTTTCTTTGTGTTTTTCACTTTGGCATCTTAACCAGCACAGATTATTGTCATCACTCATACATACAAATAAAAGTAGCTCCAGTCTAAACGTGGAGGAGAGAAAAGCCTCGAAGTGAGCGGGAACATGAGTCAGAGCTGCAGAAACAAAGTGGAGACGCTCCTGAAAGTCACATTTCACCAAAATCTGCAAAACAATGGGATCTGTTAGAGGATTGTCCCAGAATGCACGGCGGTGGCCAAAGCACAGACTACATGAAACAACTTATTGATTCCTAGTGACACTTTAGGTTCTTAATGCTGGTGGCAGATATCGATGAATGTGACATTAAATCAGAACATTCTGCCCTGTACCATGGAACTGATCTGGAACCTGTGAGCCGACCCGGAGCGAGACACAAGAACCAGAATTATTATTATTATTATTATTATTATTATTATAAATGTCTCTGCAGGTGGAAATACACATAAACAGCAAGCAGTGTGCACTTTGCATTTCATAGCTGTAGAATGAGTCCATGAGGAGGAGATATGGAGAGAAACCAGCACCAGAGGCTGACCTGGACCCCCAGCATGCCCTACCGTAGCTGCACTGATATGTGAGGAGAGTGTGACAGGCACACAGTCTGTTCGGGGGGGGTAAGGCACAAAAACCAGCAGTCCTCTGTTGTGTCTGCAGCCAACCAGCTTATTTCTGCACAGAAGTCTCAAAGGCACATGAGCACTGCAAAAAGAGTCTGGACCAGGTCCCAGAGCGGAAACCTCCACAAACCCTCCGGTTCCTGCACTTTAATGTTTGGGATCTTTTTGCAGTGCACACCTCAGCTGCCTCAGTCCGTCCTCAGAGGACCGTCCGGGTGTATAAATCCAGCAGTGTAGCAGTCTGACCCGGGTCCAGCAGGATCTCAGCTGCCCATGGGTTTGAAGGATCCGTCCGGCAGCTGTCTGAAGATGCCCCTTAACGTGTCCAGCTCCCGGGTCAGGTGCTCCACCCTCCGCCTCAGTCTGTCGTTGTCGGTGGTCAGCTCCACCACCTTCTGCTGCGTCTCCATGTTGCGCATCTTGGCCTTGTCCCGGCTCTTGCGCACGGCCACGTTGTTGCGCTCGCGCCGCAGCCGGTACTCCGGGCTGCTCTTGTCGACGTGCTTCTTGTGTTTCCCGCCTCCCCGCCCCTCCAGCAGCTTCAGGCCGCCCTGCTGCGGGTGCTGGTGCGGATGCTGGTGGTGGTGGTGGTGCTGGTGCGGGCTGGGCACCGGGGTCGGCGGAGGGGTCGGGTGTCCCGGCTGGAGGTGCATGGTGGTCTGCGCGCAGTGCGCAATCTGGTACTGGAGGTGCGGCTGCTGCTGCTGCTGCTGCTGCTGCTGGGAATGCTGGGAATGCTGGGAGTATTGCTGGGAATGCGGGTGCGGGTGGTGGTAGGTGGGAGGCATGCCCGGGTTCAGGTCCTCGTCGTCCCGGGGCTCCTGTTTGATGGCCACCGGCCGGATGCGCGGCGGGTTGTGCTCGTAGAGCGGGTCCAGCTTGGACTCCATGTAGTTGGACATGTAGAGCTGCTGGGGCCCCGGGCCGCACGGGACCGGGTCGTACTCCCCGTTCATGATCTTGAGCTTGTCCTGGCGGGAGCTGTGGTGGAACAGGTCGGCCAGAAAGTCGTCGTTGAACGCGGACGGGTCGATGTAGGCGCTCAGGTCGATGGAGGTCTCGTTGTCTCCGATCTCACCGCCGAGGTCTGCGGGGTCTCTGTAGCCGGAGGGGGGCTGCTGGCCGTGGCTTATGGTGCTCATCAGGGGCCGGGGAGCGACCTCGTACAGGTTAGAGAGCTCCATGGAGAATCTAAACCCGGGCAGGCATGGCGAGGAGCTCCGGGAATCCAGTTTGGAGAAAGTGGGAAGTGTGAGAGGTCCTCGGGTGGGAGGGGGGCTACAGACCGGCACACATGCGCCGGAGTCCGGGAGACTGTGACAGGGTTCTGATCCGGAGCGCAGAGAGCGGATTAAAGCTGCAGGTCGGTCTGATTCCTCCTGCTCACTAAAGTCTGAGCTGTCACACTGCGGTTATATAGCAGGAGGGAGTGGGCGGGAACACACACACACACACACACACACACACACACACACACACACACACACACACACACACACACACACACACACACACACACACACACACACACACACACACACACACAGTAACACACACACAGTACACACACACACACACACACACACAGTAACACACACACTATTAAATGTTAATTACTGCGAACTCCGTTTAGAAATCATTCACACTTAATTAATTCCAATTTTTATCTTATGTAATTTTATTATATTGATCAAAATACACAAATAAGACAGAGGGACAATCAATAATCAATTTCACAGAAGATCCAGTTTCACTTAGTAAAACAGCAGAACTGAAGTTGGTCCAATGAACGAGCTGCAGACACACACACACACACACACACACACACACACACACACACACAGTAACACACACACACACACACACACACACACACACACACACACACACACACACACACACACACACACACACACACACACACACACAGTAACACAGACACAGTAACACACACACACACACACACACACACACACAGTAACACACACACAGTAACACACACACACACACACACACACACACACACACACACACACACACACACACACACAGTAACACAACACAGTAACACACACACACACACACACACACACACACACACACACACACACATTATTGGTACCTTTTTTTGTGTTTTGTGCTAAATAAAGTTTATTTTCTGATTGTAATAATTTATATTAGGTGTGTGTGTTACTGTGAGTGTGTGTGTGTGTGTGTGTGTGTGTGTGTGTGTGTGTGTGTGTGTGTGTGTTACTGTGTCTGTGTTACTGTGTGTGTGTGTGTGTGTGTGTGTGTGTGTGTGTCTGAGGGGGGGGGGGGCAGATAAGGAGTGGGGGCTCCCTGCAGGGTAACAGGGGTAAGAAGGTTCACATCAGGGCTGCAGTGAGTGGAGAGTCGGACTGTAGCGCCCTCTGTCGGCTGGAAACATTATTTATTTATTTTATGCTCCATTTAAAGTCACTTTTTATTCTACTTTCTCTGCTGCAGGTCTGATATTATCTGTTATTATCTGATATTATATTATCTGATATTATCTGATATTATCTGATATTATATTATCTGATATTATCTCTTATTATCTCTTATTATCTGATATTATATTATCTGATATTATCTGCTATTGATATTATCTGTTTTTATCTGATATTATCTGTTATTATCTGATATTATATTATCTGTTATTATCTGATATTATATTATCTGTTATTATCTGATATTATATTATCTGTTATTATCTGATATTATATTATCTGTTATTATATTGTCTGATATTATATTATCTGATATTATCTGCTATTATATTATCTGTTATTATCTGATATTATCTGTTATTATCTGATATTATCTGATATTATCTGATATTATCTCTTATTATCTCTTATTATCTGATATTATATTATCTGATATTATCTGCTATTATATTATCTGTTATTATCTGATATTATCTGTTATTATCTGATATTATATTATCTGTTATTATCTGATATTATATTATCTGTTATTATATTGTCTGATATTATCTGATATTATCTCTTATTATCTCTTATTATCTGATATTATCTGATATTTATGTCTTTTATGTTTTTACTCTCCTGAGTGTTTATTAACAGATATAATCAGTGCAATATTGAATGAAGGGGTCCTTGAAGAGGTTCCAGGGGTCTAGATTTAAAAATGTTTAGGAGATCATTGATGAAGTTTTAATGGTCCTGGAGAAGGTTCCAGGCGTCATTGAGTAGTGAAAACAACTTCCTGATCTGAAGTCTGTCACTTCCTGTACAAAATAAAAGAAGAGTGGCGAACATGTGTCTGTCAGTACATACTGTACTCGTGTCAAGGTGACTCAGACAGGACGTGTTGACCTTTGACCTCTCACTGATACAGTCAGTATCAGACTGACCACACAGCAGCGTAGTAACACTGCATCCAGCCTCCATTAATATTATTAATTTATTCTCTATTTAAACAGAGGACATAAACAATCCTCTCGGAATTATTCACAACTTTTATCCTTAATGTGATTTAAAGAGTGAAACTATCTCTGCTCTTTAATATGGAGCCTTATGGAGACTGTAACACAGTGAGACGACACGCAGAACATAAAGTGCTAAAAAACTAATGTTAGCGTGGTAGCTCAGCTAGCGGCTGCGTGGTAGCTAAGGTAAGTATATAAATATATTAGCAGCAGCATTGATGTGTTCACTGTCTGTATGATTAAAAGGTGGACGACGTCTCTAAAGGAATTTAAAGACATTTTTACTGACATGTTTTTGTGTTTCTGTTCACATAATAACAACATTTACATTAACATTAAACTTTTAAAGTATATTATAAAATGTTCATCTCATTATCCTTTATTAACATTACAATTATAATGTATTATTGATAACAGTACAATTATAATGTATTATTGATAACAGTACAGTAATAATGTATTATTGATAACAGTACAGTTATAATGTATTATTGATAACAGTACACAGTTATAATGTATTATTGATAACAGTACACAGTAATAATGTATTATTGACAACAGTACACAGTTATAATGTATTATTGATAACAGTACAGTTATAATGTATTATTGATAACAGTACAGTTATAATGTATTATTGATAACAGTACACAGTTATAATGTATTATTGATAACAGTACAGAGTTATAATGTATTATTGATAACAGTACAGTTATAATGTATTATTGATAACAGTACAGAGTTATAATGTATTATTGATAACAGTGCAGTTATAATGTATTATTGATAACAGTACACAGTAATAATGTATTATTGATAACAGTACACAGTTATAATGTATTATTCACAACAGTACACAGTTATAATGTATTATTGATAACAGTACAGTTATAATGTATTATTGATAACAGTACAGTTATAGTGTATTATTGATAACAGTACAGTTATAATGTATTATTGATAACAGTACAGTTATAATGTATTATTGATAACAGTACAGTTATAATGTATTATTGATAACAGTACAGAGTTATAATGTATTATTGATAACAGTACAGTTATAATGTATTATTGATAACAGTACACAGTTATAATGTATTATTGATAACAGTACAGTTATAATGTATTATTGATAACAGTACAGTTATAATGTATTATTGACAACAGTACAGTTATAATGTATTATTGATAACAGTGCAGTTATAATGTATTATTGATAACAGTACACAGTTATAATGTATTATTGATAACAGTACAGTAATAATGTATTATTGATAACAGTACACAGTAATAATGTATTATTGATAACAGTACACAGTTATAATGTATTATTCACAACAGTACACAGTTATAATGTATTATTGATAACAGTACAGTTATAATGTATTATTGATAACAGTACACAGTAATAATGTATTATTGATAACAGTACAGTTATAATGTATTATTGATAACAGTACACAGTAATAATGTATTATTGATAACAGTACACAGTTATAATGTATTATTGATAACAGTACAGTAATAATGTATTATTGATAACAGTACACAGTTATAATATATTATTGACAACAGTACACAGTTATAATGTATTATTGATAACAGTACAGTTATAATGTATTATTGATAACAGTACAGTTATAATGTATTATTGATAACAGTACAGTTATAATGTATTATTGACAACAGTACACAGTTATAATGTATTATTGACAACAGTACACAGTTATAATGTATTATTGATAACAGTATACAGTTATAATGTATTATTGACAACAGTACAGTTATAATGTATTATTGATAACAGTACAGTTATAATGTATTATTGACAACAGTACAGTTATAATGTATTATTGATAACAGTACACAGTAATAATGTATTATTGATAACAGTACAGTTATAATGTATTATTGATAACAGTACAGTTACAATGTATTATTGATAACAGTACACAGTTATAATGTATTATTGATAACAGTACACAGTTATAATGTATTATTGACAACAGTACACAGTTATAATGTATTATTGATAAAAGTACATTTATAATGTATTATTGATAACAGTACAGTAATAATATATATAAAAATGAATCACCAACTGCCATCAACAGTTATCAGTGGCTCTCCAAGTTCAGGGACTTCTGTCAATGTAAACTCAGATATATATTTAGACTGTTTTTCTGCTATCGATCTTCATCAGTTAACTTCAATCATTTCTTCATCGAAGCCATCAACCTGTCTATTAGACCCGATCCCAACTAGGCTGCTTAAAGAAGTTGTTCCCTTAATTGGCACTTCTTTACTGGATATGATTAATCTTTCTTTATTATCAGGATATGTACCACAGTCCTTTAAAGTAGCTGTAATTAAACCCCTTCTTAAAAAGCCCACTCTTGACCCAGGGGTTTTAGTCAACTATAGACCGATTTCTAACCTCCCCTTCCTCTCTAAGATTCATCGAGAAAGTAGTCGCCAAAGAGTTGTGTGACTTTCTACATAACAATAGTTTATTTGAGGATTTTCAGTCAGGATTTAGAGTTCATCATAGCACAGAGACAGCTCTGGTTAAAGTTAATAATGACCTTCTGACTGCTTCTGACAATGGACTTGTCTCTGTACTTGTATTATTAGATCTTAGTGCTGCATTTGACACCATTGACCATAATATTCTTTTACAGAGACTTGAGCATCAAATTGGCATTAAAGGAACCGCACTAAGCTGGTTTAAGTCATATTTATCAGATTGCTCGCAGTTTGTACATGTAAACGATGAATCTTCAATAAATACTACAGTTAGTCATGGAGTTCCACAAGGTTCTGTACTTGGACCAATACTATTTACTTTATATATGCTCCCTTTAGGAAACATTATTAGGAATCACTCCATTAACTTTCACTGTTATGCAGATGATACGCAGTTATATCTATCAATCAAGCCCAATGAAATTAATCAATTATCTAAATTACAAACATGTCTTAAGGACATAAAATCCTGGATGACCTGCAATTTTCTGATGTTAAACTCAGAAAAAAAACGAAATTCTTGTTCTTGGCCCCAAAAACCTTAGAGACTCACTGTCTAAAGATATAGTTACTCTAGATGGCATTAACTTGGCCTCTAGCACCACTGTCAGGAATCTTGGAGTTATCTTTGATCAGGATTTGTCATTTAACTCCCACATAAAGCAGACCTCTAGGACTGCCTTCTTTCATTTACGTAATATTAGAAAAATTAGACACATACTATCACAGACAGATGCAGAAAAACTAATCCATGCATTTGTTACTTCAAGGCTGGATTACTGCAACTCTTTATTGTCAGGTTGCCCCAATAAGTCCATTAAAACGCTCCAATTAATTCAGAACGCTGCAGCACGAGTACTGACAGGAACTAGAAAAAGAGATCACATCTCTCCTGTACTAGCTTCTCTGCATTGGCTCCCTGTAAAATGTAGAATAGAATTTAAAATCCTCCTCCTCACCTATAAAGCTCTTCATGGTCAGGCCCCTTCATATCTTAAAGAGCTCATAGTACCCTATTACCCCTCTAGAACACTACGTTCTCTGAATGCTGGGCTACTTGTGGTTCCTATAGTCTCTAAAAGTAGAACAGGAGCCAGAGCCTTCAGTTACCAAGCTCCTCTCCTGTGGAACCAGCTTCCAGTTGTGGTTCTGGAGGCAGACACCCTCACCACATTCAAGAGTAGGCTTAAGACATTCCTCTTTGATAAAGCTTATAGTTAGGGCTGGATCAGGTGAGTCCTGAACCATCCCTTAGTTATGCTGCTATAGGCCTAGACTATCGGGGGATTTCCCATGGTGCACTGAGCTCCTCCCTTCCTCTCTCTTTCTGCACTCATTCATGTTTCATTAATGCATGTTACTAACTTCACTTCTTCCCCGGAGTTCTTGTGCTTTCTCATCTCGCAGGCTCTTATCGATCCTGGTGGAGCCTCCTGCCATGGTCCTGCTAGATTGCCATTGCCAATACTGTTGTTGCTGTGCACCTGTCTGTCCGTCTGTCTGTCTCTCTCTGTCTCTCTCTCTCTCTCTCTCTCTCTCTCTCTCACCCCAACTGGTCGAGACAGACGACCACCCACCTAGAGCCGGAGGATCTGTCCTAGGTTTCTGCCTTTTAACAGGCAGTTTTTCCTTGCCCTTGTCTCCAAGGTCTTGCTCATGGTGGTACTGTTGGGTCTCTGTAATTAATGTTAAAGAGTTCGGTCTAGACCTGCTCTATTTGAAAAGTGTCCTGAGATAACTTCTGTTATGAATTGGCACTATACAAATAAAATTGAATTGAATTGAATTGAATTAATGTATTATTGATAACAGTACACAGTTATAATGTATTATTGACAACAGTACACAGTTATAATGTATTATTGACAACAGTACAGTAATAATGTATTATTGATAACAGTACACAGTTATAATGTATTATTGATAACAGTACAGTTATAATGTATTATTGACAACAGTACACAGTTATAATGTATTATTGATAACAGTACAGTAATAATGTATTATTGACAACAGTACAGTAATAATGTATTATTGATAACAGTACACAGTTATAATGTATTATTGATAACAGTACAGTAATAATGTATTATTGACAACAGTACACAGTTATAATGTATTATTGTAACAGTACAGTTATAATTAGTACAGTTATAATGTATTATTGACAACAGTACACTAGTTATAATGTATTATTGATAACAGTACAGTAATAATGTATTATTGATAACAGTACAGTAATAATGTATTATTGACAACAGTACAGTAATAATGTATTATTGACATAATAAACAGATACACAGTTATAATGTATTATTGATAACAGTACAGTTATAATGTATTATTGATAACAGTACAGTTATAATGTATTATTGATAACAGTACACAGTTATAATGTATTATTGATAACAGTACAGTAATAATGTATTATTGACAACAGTACAGTAATAATGTATTATTGACAACAGTACACAGTTATAATGTATTATTGATAACAGTACAGTTATAATGTATTATTGACAACAGTACACAGTTATAATGTATTATTGACAACAGTACAGTTATAATGTATTATTGATAACAGTACAGTTATAATGTATTATTGACAACAGTACACAGTTATAATGTATTATTGACAACAGTACGTTATTTTTACAGTTTATAATGTATTATTGACAACAGTACACAGTTATAATGTATTATTGATAACAGTACAGTTATAATGTATTATTGACAACAGTACACAGTTATAATGTATTATTGACAACAGTACACAGTTATAATGTATTATTGACAACAGTACACAGTTATAATGTATTATTGATAACAGTACAGTTATAATGTATTATTGACAACAGTACAGTTATAATGTATTATTGACAACAGTACACAGTTATAATGTATTATTGATAACAGTACACAGTTATAATGTATTATTGATAACAGTACAGTTATAATGTATTATTGACAACAGTACAGTTATAATGTATTATTGACAACAGTACACAGTTATAATGTATTATTGACAACAGTACACAGTTATAATGTATTATTGACAACAGTACACAGTTATAATGTATTATTGATAACAGTACAGTTATAATGTATTATTGATAACAGTACAGTTATATTATTTGTTATTTTATTGATAACAGTACAGTTATAATGTATTATTGATAACAGTACAGTTATAATGTATTATTGACAACAGTACAGTTATAATGTATTATTGACAACAGTACAGTAATAATGTATTATTGACAACAGTACAGTTATAATGTATTATTGACAACAGTACAGTTATAATGTATTATTGACAACAGTACACAGTTATAATGTATTATTGACAACAGTACAGTAATAGTGTATTATTGATAACAGTACAGTTATAATGTATTATTGACAACAGTACAGTTATAATGTATTATTGACAATAGTTACAGTTATAATGTATTATTGAACACAGTTATAATTTAGTAATGTATTATTGACACATATTTTTAACAGTACAGTTATAATGTATTATTGACAACAGTACAGTTATAATGTATTATTGACAACAGTACAGTAATAATGTATTATTGACAACAGTACACAGTTATAATGTATTATTGATAACAGTACAGTAATAATGTATTATTGATAACAGTACAGTAATAATGTATTATTGATAACAGTACAGTTATAATGTATTATTGATAACAGTACAGTTATAATGTATTATTGATAACAGTACAGTAATAATGTATTATTGACAACAGTACATTATAATGTATTATTTACACAGTACAGTTATAATGTATTATTGAAATGTATTATTGATAACAGTACACAGTTATAATGTATTATTGATAACAGTACAGTTATAATGTATTATTGACAACAGTACAGTTATAATGTATTATTGATAACAGTACAGTTATAATGTATTATTGATAACAGTACAGTTATAATGTATTATTGACAACAGTACACAGTTATAATGTATTATTGATAACAGTACAGTAATAATGTATTATTGACAACAGTACACAGTTATAATGTATTATTGATAACAGTACACATATAATCGGTATAATTAGCAGTTTCAGTGGATTCACAGATGAAGTCATGCGTGTATGAACTCATTTGACCAACCTCATATTACATAAACAAAACCAACAGAGCTCCGCCCTCTCTTATTGGTCGACCGACGTGTCAATCACAGAGTGCATTGCATCACTCTGCCGCGCTCTCGCTTGTGATTGGCAAACCGCTCGCTTCGCTGCCTCCTCCTCGCCTCTGATTGGCTGACGCTCGACATTGCCGTACATGGTAAAAGAGATTTCGCAATCCTTCTCCTCTCCATGTTCTAAACAAAAACACTCCGAGCGCACACAGACGGGATTTAACGCAAACTTTCTGCCTCAACGTTACCCCATTTGACGGATGGTTGAGCCCCCCGCCGCCCCGTGAAGGTAAACCATGTCTTAAACTCTTCGCGGGTTCGAACAAGAGCGTTACCAGAGCGCTTGTAGCCTGTTAGCATCAGGAGCTAACTAGCTAGCTGGCTAGCTGCCCGGCTCGGCTGGTGAGAATAAAGTGAGAATAAAGTGAGAATGTAGTGACAGTAGTTTGAGTTTGGAGCTGAATGAGACTCTAAAGAGAGTTCGTACTGAAGGAGGTTGAAGCTGATGATGAGTCAGCAGGTGGGGAATCTTCACTTTGTTGCTTGCAGTGAACTAAAGTTGTTAAAAGTGCTCAGAACCGTAAAATCCGCTTTATGTGCTCTTTTTAATCGAGTCAAACATTAATTATTATTTAATAAAGTCCCATTAAAACTGACATCTGTGCCTTTGAGCCCCGCATGACTCCGGAGTTCCCCTGTGCGGGCACAAAGACAGCCGATGATGATGCAACAGCAGGCAACAGCCGGTTTCCACCCGGAGCGCTTTCCCCTGCGCACCGCGCAGCCGCTGCCTGGCAACGCGCCGACCAATCAGAGCCCAGCTGCTAATTGTCCGCACAGAATAATGATCCGACCAATTATCGTGTTCATAGATAGCAGGAGGAGGAGGAGGAGGAGGAGGAGGAGGAGTGACTGATGGATTGAGGTCAGCTGAGAATCTGCAGCCTGACTGCAACCGGTAGAAATCACATTCAGAACTGATCGATTAGTTCATTGATTGATGACTGTTGATTGATTGTTAATGCACAAACACTGTGAGTATTACAGAGATGATTGATGAAGATGAAGATGGTCCGTGGGAGAATTTATGCATCGTACATTTCATTAATTTATTGATATTAGATCAATATCTAATAATAAATAGCATTTAGAAATATTGATAATTCAATAATATATAATTTAATAAACTGCAGTTTTCTACAATATCACAGCGGTTCATTATTAATCAATGAATCTATAATCTGCACATTAATCAATAATGATTGAGTTAGCCCTCACAGAGTCTAACGAGGCGTTCAGGGACATTTCTTTGCACTTTACTGCAAGATTGCATAATCAATAGATCTGATATACTGATATATAATCAATAGATCTGATATACTGATATATAATCAATAGATCTGATATACTGATATATAATCAATAGATCTGATATACTGATATATAATCAATAGATCTGATATACTGATATATAATCAATAGATCTGATATACTGATATATAATCAATAGATCTGATATACTGATATATAATCAATAGATCTGATATACTGATATATAATCAATAGATCTGATATACTGATATATAATCAATAGATCTGATATACTGATATATAATCAATAGATCTGATATATAATCAATAGATCTGATATCCTGATATATAATCAATAAGTTGAAAGCTACAAAAACATTTCTGCTTCTAATGTTTTATTTTTAGGAAATTAGGCGTTGATTGATCAGTGAGGCGTTCACTGACCTGTTTATCTTTATCCTTCACTGATATTCTCTGTTCATGTCTTTGTTTACTGGCACAAATAACAAAACAACAAACTGTCATTATTAATTAATGCAATTGTTATAATAATAATTATTATAATATTCATTATTAATTCATATAATTGTTATTATAATAATAATTATTATAATATTATTGATTATTAATTAATGCAATTGTTATAATAATAATAATTATATTATTCATTATTAATTCATACATTGTTATAATAATAATAATTATATTATTCATTATTAATTAATACAATTGTTATAATAATAATTATTATAATAATATTCATTATTAATTCATATAATTGTTATTCATTAGTAGTTAATAGTATAATAATAATTATTATAATATTATTGATTATTAATTAATGTAATTGTTATTCATTAGTAGTTAATAGTATAATAATAATTATTATAATATTATTGATTATTAATTAATGTAATTGTTATTCATTAGTAGTTAATAGTATAATAATAATTATTATAATATTGTTATTAATTAATGTAATTGTTATTCATTAGTAGTTAATAGTATAATAATGATAATGGATAATAAAGATCCTGTCAGTGCTGATCAGAGTTAAAGCACAATGTCTTTATGTATCTTTATGTGTTGTTGTTTACAGTGGGTCAGTTACTGTAAACAGACCAACAATCAATCAGATTGATCAGAAACAGCTGATTAGGAACTGATTGTGTGTTTCAGGCTCCGTGGAAAAGAACTGAACGACTTCCTGCCGCCACTGTTTCACTGCACACCTGAGGAGACTCGGACATCAGCACCTGAAGGCAACTCCTCCCAATGAGCCGGCCTCAGCCGAAGATAACCACAGCTGACCACAACGCCGTGAGCGTCATCCAGAGCCAGGCCCCGCCGACGCCGCCGCCACTTCCTCCTCGTCTCTGCCGGTATCCGGACTGCAGCAGGTCCCGCGGCTCGTCCCCCCGAACCTCTCAGCCGGAGGAGGCGAGGCCCCCCCGCCCAGCAAGATGAAGAAACCGCACGCCGACAAGGACAGCGAGGAGTACCGCCAGCGCCGCGAGCGCAACAACCTGGCGGTGAAGAAGAGCCGAATGCGCAGCAAGCAGAAGGCGATGGACACGCAGCAGCGCGTCAACGAGCTGAAGGAGGAGAACGAGCGGCTGGAGGCCAAAATCAAACTGCTGAGTAAGGAACTGAGCGTGCTCAAAGACCTCTTCCTGGAGCACGCGCACAACCTGGCCGACAACGTGCAGCCGCCCGCCGGTGCAGGGGGCTCCAGCCCCGCCCCCAACAATGGCTCGGCCAATGGGCAGTGAGAGGGGCGGAGCAACAAGAAGGGGCGTTCGCTCGCTGCAGCTTTTCTGGGAACTTTGGAAACGCGGCCTCACTTCTTCGTCTTTACGGCTTTACTTTTTGTTTTTATTCACATATTTAACCCCGTAATGCCCCGCCCACTTCACAACTTAACTCTGGTTCCTAATAATTGATCATATTAATTGAAATAAAAGCAGGAGCTGAAGTTTTTGGAAGAAATGATATTGATTGATTGATTAATCAATATTGTTTAATCACCAATGATTCATTTTAAAATGTATTTATTGAATTCAGTAACAAAAGTCTTTTAAAACTTATATTTTTATGGATTAAAGTTCGGCCTCCTTCACTTTCTGGAATGTTTGTGGACTTTTTGGACGCTGATCTGACGCTGTCATCATGTGAGAAGCCAAAATCGATCAATTGATCGATGGATTGATTGATTGGAGGAGACAACGTGAGCTCCTACAAACTGAGACGTCGTCCAATCAGGATTCACTCTGAGTGAACCACAGAAACTGGAGTTTTCCTCTTCCTGGATGTGGAACTGACTCGCCGCCGCCGCAGGATGACGGTGTAAATTCCCTTTTTCTAGGATGTGTATTTTCTTCTGTTCTAAAGAGTTTTTGAGAAAGTTTTTAAGGTTCAGTCACTACGTGTCGAAGCTCAGAGGACTGGTTTTACAACCCGGGTCCTCCCTGAGTTTAATCACATGACTGTCTGTCTGATATCGGGAGGAACCGGGAGGAACCGGGAGGAACCCTGTCTGTCCTCTGAGTGGACCACTGCCTGGGTCTGAGCCATATCTGTGTCTGTTCATTATCGTACGGTAAAGCACGCCGCCATCACTCTCACTGCTGTGAAGCCTGCTGGGAGTTCAGGGTGAGTGAGGATGGATCCAGGATAGTTTTATAAAATCTATTTATGAACGTTTGTGTCACTGATCAGTAATATCTGATCAGTGATATCTGATCAATAATATCTGAAGAACAGGCCACAGATATGACAATAAAACCCAGGTTGTGTTAAAATGTTGATCTGTCAGCTGGTGACTCCGCCCACTCTCACCTCCACACGTGTGTGTGTGTATGACTGTGTGTGTGTGTGTGTGTGTATGACTGTGTGTGCGTGTGCGTGTGTATGACTGTGTGTGTGTGTGTGTGTGTGTATATGACTGTGTGTGTGTATATGACTGTGTGTGTGTGTGTGTGTGTGTGTGTGTGTGTGTGTGTGTGTGTGTGTGTGTATGACTCTGTGTGTGTGTGTGTGTGTGTGTGTGTGTATGACTGTGTGTGTATGACTGTGTGTGTGTGTATGACTGTGTGTGTGTGTGTGTGTGTGTGTGTGTGTTTATGACTGTGTGTGTGTGTGTGTGTGTTACTGTGTGTGTGTGTGTGTGTGTGTTACTGTGTGTGTATGACTGTGTGTGTGTGTGTGTGTGTGTGTGTATGACTGTGTGACTGTGTGACTGTGTGTGTGTGTGTGTGTGTGTGTGTGTGTGTGTGTGTGTGGTGGATCCAGACTCTCTGCAGTTGAATTAAATCCAGTTGTAATCAGTAACCAGTCGGGACCGGTCCGACTCCGCGGCCTCGCAGTGGAGGAGGAGTGTCGGGGTCCGCCACTGTCACAGACTTTATAATTATGATATTTGTGCGAGCGGGGAGTGTCTGTCTGTCTGTCTGTCTGTCTGTCTGTCTGTCTGTCTGTCTGAGTCCTGCTGCTCCGCTCAGCGTTCCCACAGCGTTCCCACAGCGTTCCCACAGCGTTCCCACAGCGTTCCCACAGCGTTCTTGGTGCTATGTTTGGAACCAGCCTGTTTTTTAAGACCTGATGTTTTTATCAGAAAGTTAAAAATGTTTTTGTAGAATTAATTTAAAATCGAAGGCTGAAGGAAATCTTTTGAAATCATGAATTTTAGGCCACAATAACCCAGGAAATCCTGCAGCCCTAAATACTACAATACCCATGATGCTCTGCTGCTGTTGCTGTGGAAGGCAGACACCGCTGTAGTTACCGTATTGATCCAGAATCTGACCGTGGACTGAAGTCAACTACTGACAGAATGTGGAGCTCTGTGAATGGCTGACTGTCAGTGAAATGCATCATGGGAGTCGTAGTTCAGTGTCTCTCAAAGAAGCAGATGTTTGTGGGAACGTTGTGGGAATGTTCCCCGCTCTCTGCCTTCATCTTTTTCACTTTTGTATCGTTTGTTTTTCTACACTTTAATTCCTAAAAGCAGCATGTTTGTAGAGTCTTTGCATGGGGGGTTGTTCATGTGAAATAAACAGATGATGTTTGTTTGTTTGTTTGTTTGGTTGTTGGGATGTTTGTCATGTTTTGCTTCGGTCTGAATGTTGCTGGGCAGCATTTTCCTGTCGTCACTCAGCTTTTTTATATCAGAGTAATCTGGGCTAACGTGCATTGTAAATTAAAATTGAGTACAAAAGTTCAAGCGTGTGTTTTTCTGTTGATTCAACTCTGAATGTGTTTATTATTATTAATTATTATTACTATTTAATTAGTTATTTTGAACAGAAATGATGCAGCAGATATGTCCTCTATATCTATATCTATATATATTATATATAAAAATATTATCCAGCCACAGTTCCAGCCAGAGAGGGACAATAAAGCTACAGGAGAGGACGGTGTTAAAGTGATCAGAATCAGAAATAATTTAATAATCCCAGGGGGAAATTATTTTCGTTACAACACTCCAGATATACAAACAACATATAATACAAACAACATATATATATATACAACATTCAGCACAATATATATATATATATATAACTATATATATATACAAGATCAAATGTACAGTATTAATGTGCAAAAGAATAATTGTCTACGTTTTGAGTCAGAATTACAGAGGGGGGGTGTCTGACTCTCTGAGGGAGGCGTTGTAGAGATTGATGACCACAGGCAGGAATGATTTCCTGTGGCGCTCTGTGGTGCATCTGGGTGAGAGGAGTCTTCTGCTGAAGGTGCTCCTCTGCTGGGCCAGTGTGTCCTAGAGAGGGTGAGAGACATTGTCCAAGATGGACTGAAGCCTGGACAGCATCCTCCTCTCTGCCACGGTCGTCAGGGTGTCCAGCTCCTCCCCTACGACATCACCGGCCCTCCTGGTCAGTTTGTTTAGTCTGTTGTTGTCAGCGACCCTCAGCCCACTGCCCCAGCATGGGACAGTGAAGAAGATCGTACTGACCACAACAGACTCATAGAACATCCTCAGCATCCTCCGGCAGATGTTAAAGGACCAAACTTCCAGTCCAGCTTATTATTAAAGTACACCCCCAGGTACTTATACTCCTCCACAGTGTCCACAGGGACCCCCTGGATGGAAACAGGGGTCACTGGTGTTTTTGCCCTCCTCAGATCCACTATGAGCTCCTTAGTCTTTGTCACATTGAGCTGCAGATGATTCAGCTCAGTCCAAGTGACAAAGTTGCCCACCACAGTCCTATATTCACTGTCATCACCCTGATCTATGCAGCCAACTATTGCTGAGTCATCAGAAAACTTCTGAAGGTGGCAGGACTCGGTGCAGTAGTTGAAGTCTGAGGTGAAGAGGGTGAAGAGGAAGGGAGAGAGGACAGTCCCCTGTGGGGCCCCAGATTATAAACTCATATTTGGATGAATATCTCAAACAGCCGTAAAATGACATCAGTAGGTTATTATGGGATTTTAACCCTCATATAGCTCCTCCCACTTCTCATCCACATGAATGACATGTTTCATGAGCGTGCTCAGTGTGTCTGCAGTGATTGACGGGCAGACTAATGTTCCACCATTATTCCTCATTTAATAATCTCAGAAACATTCAGTGTTGTACAGTACGAGTCCAGATGTCGATCAGCTCCAACCTGACGTCACATCGATCAGCTCCAACCTGACGTCACATCGATCAGCTCCAACCTGACGTCACATCGATCAGCTCCAACCTGACGTCACATCGATCAGCTCCAACCTGACGTCACATCGATCAGCTCCAACCTTATTGATTTTCAGGCTTTGAGAACGTTGGAACCGGGTCCTTATAGAACCGGGTCTCCCTGGTCCTGAGTCATCAGGAGGTCCTGCGGTGGGAAGCTGTGTGTCCTCTGCCGTAGACATTGATGTCTCCCTCCTGGGGATGTTTCCGGGTGGCAGCAGGTTAAAGTTTAAAAAGGAGGAGGTCCGAAACTGGAACCCTGAGGAACACCATGATTAATTTACAGCTTTCATCAATCATCAACGCTTCCAATAAACGGAACCTAAGGGTCGGGACCCCCACTAGGGGTCTCCAACGCTTCACGGGGGGGGTAGCGAGGCCCTGGGGCAACAGAGCGTTCTCTGTAGCTGCCCCCTCCCTCTGGAACTCTCTCCCCAAACACATTCGTGACTGTACCGACCTTCCAACGTTCAAATCACTGACAAAAACACACCTTTTTAAAATTGCTTTTAATGTTTAGCTTAGTCTGATGTGTTTTTAATGTTTTACTATTTGATGTTGTTTTGCTACTTTTATGTTTTTATGTAAAGTGTCTTTGAGTATTTAGAAAAGCGCTTATAAATAAAATGTATTATTATTATTATTATTCTTGATTTTAAAGTGTATGTCGTATATGTCATCATCCTGGCAGCTCTAACACAGTGACAGAAAGCTCTGATCAATATTCACAGGAAGTAACGTCCTGCTGGGGCTGCGTTCAGTTCTGTTATTGTTGTTTTTATTGTTAGTTTTGTTGTTGTTGTTAGTGTTGTTGTTAGTGTTAGTATTGTTAGTATTGTTATTGTTAGTGTTGTTATTGTTATTATAAGTGTTAGTATTGTTATTAGTGTTATTGTTATTAGTGTTATTGTTGTTATTATTGTTAGTGGTGTTGTTGTTGTTACTATTGTTAGTGTTGTTATTATTGTTAGTGGTGTTATTGTTGTTGTTGTTGTTATTATTGTTAGTGTTATTATTGTTATTGTTGACGACCACCGCCTCCAGCGTCGATCAACAGAGTTCAGCTGAACCGACCAAGAACTACAATACCCACAAATAATGTTAAGATAACGCTGCCTAATATTAACTTAAATACTGAAACACTAATATCAGAAAGCATAACTGAACACACTGCCTACACCTACTGCAAAAAGGGGCAGGGCTTAGGAAGGGTCAGTTACCACCGGGTGAGAGCACGTCGCTCTAACAAACTCTGATTGGATTTGTTCTGCACATGCTCAGTGTAACAATATCTTTATTTACCATGATATAATGACACAGGGACAGAAAGCGGTTCAAAGAGTTAAAAAAGTTTATTTCGGTGGTGGTTGTGATTTTACTGGAAGAATCAAATTTATGATCTAATCCTGATTTCTGTTGGTAGAAGAGCTGTGACCTCTGAGAGAACCACACCGGAGGTCAGAGGTCACAGACAGATTTCACGTGTGTGTCAGAGCTTTTGATTACTTTTGATTGATAAGGTTATCAAACAGCAGCTCCAGCGGCCTTGAAAACCAAACAGGGACAGACGGACGTGATGATGGTGAATGATTGACGCGATGACATCATCATCGCCTGAGCTCAATAAACACGTTTTTTTTATTTTAAGGTCAGAAGACGCAGCATGTCAGCTTGCAGCGTTCAAAGTCTACTGTCTCCGCCTGACACAGAGCGCTCGCTGCCCACGCAACCCGTCCTCCCACATCCTCCTCCCATTGTTCCCATAATTACCAGCACCGTCAGCGCCTAAAAATAACCCGGCTGTGTGTGTGTGTGTGTGTGTGTGTGTGTGTCAGCTGGAAACTGGAACATCAGCTTTCATCGACTGCAGCTCGGAGGTTAAATGAGATCAGACGTAATCTGAAAAGGAAGACGAGAGCTGAAACATGTTTTCTGTCTGGAGACGTTTTAAATAAAGTTTACACTGAAACTGGCTGCGTCATCACATCGGAAATATTCTGTCTGCTGATTCATTTTTAACTCAGTCCCCCAAAATACCCAAAAATCTAAAAAAGTCTGAAAAACTTTATTGCAAGTAAAAGTCCTGAATTCAATGAAAGCTTCTGAAACCTCCATTAAACTGCAGCTAACAGCGCAACCAGTGGTCGTTCAGTGAACTGCAGTTAGCGTCCAGTTGCTAACGGAGACTCTGTGGACTCTGTGTTGGACTCTGTGTTGTGGACTCTGTGTTGGACTCTGTGTTGTGGACTCTGTGTTGTTGGACTCTGTGTTGTGGACTCTGTGTTGGACTCTGTGTTGTGGACTCTGTGTTGGACTCTGTGTTGTGGACTCTGTGTTGGACTCTGTGTTGGACTCTGTGTTGTGGACTCTGTGTTGGACTCTGTGTTGTGGACTCTGTGTTGGACTCTGTGTTGGACTCTGTGTTGTGGACTTTGTGTTGGACTCTGTGTTGGACTCTGTGTTGGACTCTGTGTTGTGGACTCTGTGTTGTGGACTCTGTGTTGGACTCTGTGTTGGACTCTGTGTTGTGGACTCTGTGTTGGACTCTGTGTTGGACTCTGTGTTGTGGACTGTGTTGGACTCTGTGTTGGACTCTGTGTTGTGGACTCTGTGTTGGACTCTGTGTTGTGGACTCTGTGTTGTTGGACTCTGTGTTGGACTCTGTGTTGTGGACTCTGTGTTGGACTCTGTGTTGTGGACTCTGTGTTGGACTCTGTGTTGTGGACTCTGTGTTGGACTCTGTGTTGGACTCTGTGTTGTGGACTCTGTGTTGGACTCTGTGTTGGACTCTGTGTTGGACTCTGTGTTGTGGACTCTGTGTTGGACTCTGTGTTGTGGACTCTGTGTTGGACTCTGTGTTGTGGACTCTGTGTTGGACTCTGTGTTGTGGACTGTGTTGGACTCTGTGTTGGACTCTGTGTTGTGGACTCTGTTTGTGACTCTGTGTTGTGGACTCTGTGTTGTTGGACTCTGTGTTGGACTCTGTGTTGTGGACTCTGTGTTGGACTCTGTGTTGTGGACTCTGTGTTGGACTCTGTGTTGTGGACTCTGTGTTGGACTCTGTGTTGGACTCTGTGTTGTGGACTCTGTGTTGGACTCTGTGTTGTGGACTCTGTGTTGGACTCTGTGTTGGACTCTGTGTTGTGGACTTTGTGTTGGACTCTGTGTTGGACTCTGTGTTGTGGACTCTGTGTTGTGGACTCTGTGTTGGACTCTGTGTTGGACTCTGTGTTGTGGACTCTGTGTTGGACTCTGTGTTGGACTCTGTGTTGTGGACTGTGTTGGACTCTGTGTTGGACTCTGTGTTGTGGACTCTGTGTTGGACTCTGTGTTGTGGACTCTGTGTTGTTGGACTCTGTGTTGGACTCTGTGTTGTGGACTCTGTGTTGGACTCTGTGTTGTGGACTCTGTGTTGGACTCTGTGTTGTGGACTCTGTGTTGGACTCTGTGTTGGACTCTGTGTTGGACTCTGTGTTGTGGACTCTGTGTTGGACTCTGTGTTGGACTCCTGTGTT